TTGTATACCTGTCGTTGTTTCTTCAACAGTAGTTCTCCTTTAGACTAACTTCGTCTAAGGGCATGAATTTGGTCTATATCCGTAAAGTAGACCTAAGGTGCAATTTTCGGAAATAGTCGATACTAGGTCTTTTTCCGTAGGTGACTCTCGCAGTCATCGTACTTGCAGTGTTCCTAGAATATATATGGGTGCTAGGGGTGATCAATCCTTAATGCATCCAACTTTGTCAATTCCTGTTCCTCCTTTGTCTTGCCCGTGAGCTCGGATTTCTCTATGGTTTTACGTAACCTTTCTACGTCTCTATTGATGGGTTCGTAGTCTATAGCAGCTTGGTCTGCTCGTAGTTCCTAGGGTTTAGGTCCCTAAGTGTCTTCCTGCTATTCGTCTTGCGCGTCATATTCCGCAAGCTTGTATTTCAACCACATAGTGGCTTCCTCAGAGGTGTGGTTCGCTCCTTAGGGCTCCCTTCCTCGTGGGTACCTAGGGCGGCACCTCATGGCGCGAACTACAACTTCCTAGTCTTGTCGAGTGCCTATCCATCCCGTCGGGGGTGGTGGTACAGGAATCGCTCTTAGAGTTCCTTGTCGAAGCATGGTCTGTCTGTAGACGTCGACCACTCCTAGTAGATTCTCCTTAAATGCGATCTCCTTCGCGTCTTCTTCAAACTCCTTCAGCTAGAGTTTCTAGGATTCCGTTAATCCCCTGTTTAGGAGTTCGTTCTCCTTCTCGAGTGATGCGTTGAAGTCGTTGAGATCTTCGTCGCCTGAGCTCTCTTCTTCTAGGGTGCTATCGCCCGTGATCCCCTAGTCGGGTTTGTTCACGAACATGGCGTTTAACTGCCCCTTCTAAGTGGCGTTAAGTTGTCTCCTGAATTTCTTATGTCCTCCGTTCCCTTTCTTAGGTTGCTTGCAGTCTTAGGCCATGTGGCCCGGCTTGTTGCAATTAAAACACAACCGTTCCTTAAGCTGTCGCTCTTTGTTTAGGTTACGGGGTCTCCCACTAGGCTTGAACGTAGCGTCGAGCTCTATGGGCTAAGGCTAATGACTCTTCTAAGTTCTCCGCTTCTAGGTCCATTGGTGGCTGGTTGTTCCTCCCTTCCTTTCGAGTTAGCGTTCGTAGTAACGATTGTCGATCTTCTAGGCCATCTTAATTAATTCTTTGAGGTCATCTAGTTTGTCCGACTAGGAGATTTCGTCCTTTACATGATCCTTCAGCCCCTTGTAGTATCGGTCGCATATAGCCTTGTCTCCCTAACTAGTGAGGGGGGCATGCTGCTAGAACTTAGCAGTATATGTAACTGCCGACCCCCTCTGCTTAAGGGCCTCGAGGGCTTGCACTACGTTTCTTCTTTCGTCAACGTCCCCGAAGTTCGCCTTAAGTTGCTTAACGAAGCTAGCCTAAGTGATGAAGATATCCTTAGTGCCTTGGTTAGCCGTCGTGGTGACTCTTCCGTCAGCTGCTTAGTGGCTCATGTAGTCCGTTAGGTAATTGGCAATCCAGTCGGAGGCTGAGCCCCTTAGGAGGGCCACTGCCCATAGGACTTGCTATACTTCAAAGGCAAAGTGCTTAGCGTTGAAGGCCATCTAGAGTTCCGTCTAGATAAGGAAGCTCTTAAGCTTCTTGCAGTCCCCATTGAAGGTGTCTAGGAATGCAATCTTAAGTTTGTCTAAGGGGTGTGGTCCCCTAGGCGCAGGCGTGGTGGTAGGTAATGGGACAGGCTCGACAGCTGCCTTGCCCTTCGACCCTACGTTAGATGCTGAATCGTTTCTAGCCATGTTGCTTGTATATGAGCCGGTACCTCATAGAAGTGGTGCTCAAAGTGTAACGCTAGGTCTTAAACTATAAGACTCATAGAGGTTTCGTTGCGTTGGTTTACTTAACAGAGGAGGCAGGGGATTAGACATAAAGGCTTTCATAAAACACGTTACAGTATATAACAAAATACTATATTGAGTTGAGCACGAAGCTCCTATCTAAGAACTAACTACCTACTTATATAGAGGCGTCGTGCCAAAGGGGACTGTGAGGAACTATAGGAACTGTAAGAGTTCTAGCAGTTCTTACGGTTCCATCACGTGAGTGCTATTCTAGTACCTATGCTGTTTCCGGTACCTGCAACTCTAGTACCTCCTAATTCCTAGGTGCCTAACTATCTTCCGGTACCTGTAAACTTAGGTGCTAGACACTCATTAGGTGCCTAATAACTGACCCTGCCTTAAGGGCGGTCGAATCGCTAACATCCTCATTACTACTATATTCGGGGTGTCGGCGATAGTGCCGCCGAAAACCCTAGCTGTAACACCTATGTCCTTACAAGTTCTTATAGTTCTATTATATATATGTCCTATAAGAGGTACTACACTTATTATAGGTACTAATTCCTATAAGTGCCTTCCTAAGGAGGCACCTTACTCTATATAGGTACCTTTTCTAATAGGCACCTCTCCTTTACTAGGTACCTTCTAAGAAAGGTACCTTTTCCTAAAGGTGCCCTTATTAACTAAGCTACCTATAATCTCTATGTCCATTTCCTACTGCTAATTAGCTATAAGCTATTTTACCTTATTACTCTATCCTATAGTATATAGGTTGTATGTTTTAGCTATAACACTTAAGAGCTATAATAAGAACTATAGATTAAGTTAGAATTAGAAGAGGGAAAGAGAAATAGGTTAATAAAGGGTAAAGAAATAGGTAGAGCATAAAGGGTTAATGTACTAGCTATAGTATTAAGGGTGTTACTAAGGGTAATGTAACGCTAGGTCTTAAACTATAAGACTTATAGAGGTTTCGTTACGTTAGTTTACTTAATAGAGGAGGCAGGGGATTAGACACAAAGGCTTTTGTAAAACACGTTATAGTATATAACAAATACTATATTAAGTTGAGCACGAAGCTCCTATCTAAGAACTAACTATCTGCTTATATAGTGGCGTTGTACTAAAGGATATCAAAGATATTATAGATAACAAATATCTAACATATCGTTGTTATCCATTACGTAGGTCTTACGATATGATTAGGTCTAAGGACTAGAGGTCTCTAGATCCAACTAATCCTATAATGTCCCCTACTCTTAAGACTATAGGGCGTAGGAGCTACTTAGTTCCTATGCTCCTAGGTCGTGCGCCTAGCTTAGTCCCTAGGCCTAATTAGGTCTAGCGCTACTAATGTTCTAGCGCTTAGCTTAGTTGTTCGACCTAACAAGGTTGTACGCTGTCTAGTTTCTAACAGTAGATACTCTGTTCTAATATTAGAAACCTACATAGTCTATAGTTTCCTTAAGGGCTATAACACTAGGTCCCTCCCTTAAGGCCTAGTCCTAAGGCCTATTACTAACTAAGAAAAACGCTAACTACTTAAGTAGAGCAATGCCTACTTGTTCTATAGGCAGGTTAGGCTGCGACTATATCTTCTTCTAAACATACTAAAATTAAAGAACGTCTTGCTCTAGCTTAACGAATCCTAACTACTAGCATTAAGATGCTGCCCTATAGTTAATGTAAAAAGAAATGTGTAAAATGTGTTGTATTAGACGATTCGAAACGATGTAGTAAATGTATCTGTGTTAACGCTCACTATAATGCTAGTGGTCCTTCCGCTAGCAACTAGGATAAGCTCGAATGCAAAGAACGTCGCTTGTAAGAGGAGGAGGAAGAGGCAATGGCTAAAATCCTTTGCCTTTGCAAGCAGCAACGTCTGTTCCGTTCCTAAGCTAAAGACATACTTCGTTAGGGTCTGAAAACTATAGACGAACTCAACGAGGTAGAGGAGAAAGAGCGTAAGGAAGCTAAGTCTAAAGAGGCCTTTCCTTACAGTCCTTCTACAACCGTCTCTAGGACTGCTGTCCCTAACCTAGACCTTTTCGCAGCCCTATCTCCTAGGTTTTTCGAACGTTAGGGTGTCGACGGTAGAACTCCGCTAGCAGCTCTAGGCAGCTAAGGTTCCCCCTTAACTCCTATAAGTTATCCGTAGGTTCGTAACCTTTCCATTTAATTAAAAACTCTTCTTAGCGCCCTACTAACCTTCTATCTAGGATCGCCTTAACCTTATATTTAATAACTTCATTCTTAGGTTAGAGTTTAGTGTCTGTTGCAATTGGGGTATCCCCTCTTACTAGTTCTAATAATGAGACATAAAATACTAGGTAGAGTTTAGAGTTCTTAGGTAGCTGCAGTCTATAATTAACTAAGCTGACTTTGTTTAATATCTTAAATGGTCCTAATTTCTTAAAGTCCAACTTCGTACTTAGTCGTTTCGTTTTGATGTGTTTTTAGAGTAGGTATACTTTATCCCCCTCCTTGAAGGCAGGTTCTATACTGCGCTTCCTGTTTACATATGTAGCGGATCGTTCATTTAAGAATTGGATGTCCGTCGCAAGTTGTTCGTGGAACGATTTTAGTTATTCCACCACGATTAGGGCTTGTTCAGCTCGTGCCTCGTCCGGTCTTGGTTGCCTATATGCTTCCGGGTCGTGCGCCCGGCTCAGTCCCCAGGCCCAATTGGGTCTAGCGCCACTGATGTTCTGGCGCTCGGCTTAGTCGTTCGACCCAACAAGGTTGTACGCTGTCTGGTTTCCGACAGCAGATACTCTGTTCTAATATCGGAAACCTGCACGGTCCATAGTTTCCCCGAGGGCCGTAACAGGTAAAGGGAAGAAGGAAAGAAGAAGAATAAGTAGCTAAGATTTATAATAATAATAACACTACTATATAGGCTAAGTAGACACGTCTATCCTAAACTCCTAAACTATTTGGCTACTATAGTAACACTATAATAAATTTAATATAGGCTAAATAATTCTTAGGCTTAAAGGGGCTTAAGCCTTAAAAGGGGGGGTAATTGTTACAAATAATATCACGTGCAGACAGTAATCACGTGCGAAGCAATGCCAAGTCGGAGGAACTTCCCTCTAAAGCCCTAGCGTAGAGTATATAGTAGGAACGTAGACCTCTAGAGGAGGGACAGCGTTTAGTCTTGTAATCTACAGGATCTATATACGCGTATACGATTGAAGAACGTGACCTCGTACTGCCCCCTGTTCGTTGAAGATCCTTACAGCAGGATGGAAGGAAGACTGTGCTCGACTTATATCCTATCTCAGGCTCCGAGAAACAAATGGACTTTTCCAGACGTGGTTGGTGGCCTTGAGGATTCATCTGACCTGACGGGGATTCGTACGTAAAATGGTCTGTATTCCCAGAAACGACCAAAATTCTCCCTTTGGCAGGCGAATAGAACACAGCATAGTATATAGGCCGGTCGTGAAGCCTCAGCTCAACACCCAGTTGGAACACGGTGTAAATGGAGATACATGACATCTTGGATGACAAGCCCTCGTATCCCCACTCCGACGCACGGACCAGCTTCCAGAAACGAAGAAACCCTCTCGCGCGAGACTTCTGAGACACTCTCATCTTGGTGTACGATCTCTCTCGCCCGAGATTACCTCTCAAACATGCAACAATCGAAACCATGGGCTGCAAGCTTCTCTCAGGGATGATAAAATCAGCTTCCCTGGTTAGCTCTTCGGTGTTAGCTCCCCAAGATAGATAAAAACTCCATTATGATATGATACAATATCTGATGAATATTTCACGGTAAACGTTCCCGACATTTTGATCATCACCTCTCCCGGCATTGTCAAGCATCCAGCTCCCATAATCTTATGGGCTGCTCATTTATACACGTCCTGCCACGCACAACAAATCATGATGATGGCTTCAACAGATCAAGTTGGCCCTTCATTGTCCCATACACGGCCGGCAACATCACCAAGTAGCCCGAATTTCTCATCAACCGAACACGTTGTCACGTTCAGCTATGCCCAACAGCTTCTTGAAACGATTGAAGCTATCATGGACATGGAGATTGCTTCTACTGCATCGAAGTGCAAGCGTCCGCAGACAACATCTTAGGTTGCTGGCATGTGACATATACGGAACCCCTAACTCTCAAACATGTTGAGAAACTCGTTTTGAAGCTTATGGAGATGATCAGTTCGATAGTAGAATTACACCTTGCATCCCGTTCATCCGTGAAAACACAATGTATTGAAGAGAGTTAAGAGTAACGAAGACGTTCAGGTTAATCCCGAGCTCGTATGTTAAAGCCACACCCTAACTACGCCCCTCACCATCTTTAACGGTAAAGGTCTCTGTGGTCACGCTTGATAGCATCGGCACCCTTCTCAGCCAACATGTAGACTGAGTTCTGAATGCGACAGTCCGGAATAACAGGGATGACAGAAGCGTCGATAACACGGAGGTTCTTGATTCCGTGAACCTTGAGATTGGGATCTACCACACCCTGTTGGATGTTCTTGGACAGGCGGGCAGTACCACAAGGGTGGAATGAGGTCTGAGAACGATCTAACACTGTTCTCTTCATCGCTTCATCATCATCTAGCGGCATGTCCCAAGGATATTCGTCCTCAACAATATCCTTGAACCCTTCGCCATTCTTGAGTACATCGTAGGTGAATCTGATGCCTTCACGAATAGCAATGATATCAAGGTCATTATTGAAGTAATTCAAGTTGATGTTCGCTTGCTGTAGGGGATCGGCGCTGTTTAGTGTAACCTCACCGCCCTCAGAGACTGGGCGAACGAGATCTACCATAACAGTCATGTAACTGCCCTTCTTGGGGTGTGGGAAGTGCCACTGGAAGGCACTACCAAACAGAGGGAGGAAATCAATCTCAAAATGAGGCTGGCCATACGGACAGAAGGGATCGAGGCCACCATTAGCAGCCTTTGCCTTGCGGTACTCGGGGGACTTTTCCAAGTACTTGTCGATACGAGGGAAACCGATCAACTCGAGGAAGGGCGATCCCATAGGGCCAGCGTGTCCGTTGGAGTAAGCTGCCAAACTTTTATTCTGCAGAGGACCCTTTCGTAAGACGTGATTATCCATTGAGAAACTGTCTTTAAGACGGAGTACGAAGGGAACACCGGGGTGGTCCAAGAGGTGCTGGCCGACGTGGCGCGAGTCGACAATCACAGGGATATTGTGCTTAGCTAGCTCAGGCGCCGGTCCAATACCACTAAGCATCAGGAGCTTGGGGCTTTCAAAAACACCCTGGGAGACGATGACTTCACGGGTAGCATAGAAACTAAGCTCTTGTCCAGAGCTTGTGATCACAGTCACACCCTTAGCAGTGCGATCAGCATCGTCGATAATCAGTTTTTTCGAATAAACTTCAGGAAGAATGGTGATATTCGGCTTGTTCGAGACGGCGAGGAAGCTTCCTGAGCGGCGGCCCTTATAGATGGTGTTGACACTATGTGTCAGACCGATCATCTCACCATCGAATATATTCTCAGTGACGGGCTGGCCGGTGGACTTCCAGGCCTTAGTGACAAGGTCACGGAAACCCTTCATCTCAGGGATAAGGTCGGCATGGGCAATCGGAATTGGACCACCGGCACCGATCTTCTTCAGTTCTGGTGGGAACAAGCCGGCGTCATCGTGGTAAGTCACACTCTTCCGAAGGTAAGGAACAAGAGGATCCCAGGTCCACTCCTTTCCTCCGTATTCCTCCCACATATCGAAGGTACCCTTAGAACCAGGCACCCAGGAGAAATAGTTTAGGGACGAACTACCACCAAGAGCCTTTCCGCGGGTGTTAGGCTTCTCAATACGCTCGTAGTCGTCACGCTTGACCATGGTCGTCTTGTAAGCCCAGTCGTACTGGCTGCCACGGATATCCATTGCGAGAGCAGGAGTCCGGATCTCCTCATTAACCTCGGAGCTGCCAATACCGGCTTCAACGACCAGAATCCTGGCATTGGGGTTTTCCGCAAGGCGGCTGGCAACGATATTGCCTGCCGTGCCACCACCAACGACAATAAAGTCAAAACGGGCACCGTCCTGAACAGACATGATGAAGTGTATATTGGTCGAGTGAGATAATTGAAGTTGAACTCTTGTAGCTGTTGTTGGTATTATTGTTCTTGTTCGAAATATTCTTGTTGTCTAATGAGGGGGATGCCCGCTATATAGGAGGTTCCAAGCCCCCTCGTTGATAAGTGGTTCTTCATAATTGGTCTAGCCTTAGCCCGATTACGTAGCTACTACTGACGGTGCTCGGCCAAAACTGGCATATTTGGCCAAAGCATTTCTGTAGATCAGTGGCGGTTGCCTTGGCCTGTTTCTCGCGCGAGAGGTCCGATACTAAGCTCTGTTGCAGCGCTGGTCTTCGCGCGATACAATCAGACGCAGAATCCCCGCACGCTATTAGCGTTATCAGCGTGCGGGGCATCTATGCTGCTTGGACAACCCCCCACGGGCGAGTCCTGTAGTTGAGCAGGTTAGTCCCACATCTGGGTTCAAGAATCGATCGAGTTATAACCCCACTGACCGAGGGCGCGATACTGGTTATGGATAGAATGTGTTCTCCCGCTGTTGTCTCTGTGAATTCTGTAATAATCGTCATAGATGAGCTTGTTCAATGTGTCCCCTTTCTTTCGCGTGTGTTCGCCCTTCCTTTTCTTTTGGGTTATCCCCTTTATTTATGGTTTGTCCTGCTATTTGCTTCATATACCCTTGACTGCCCAATGAAACACCTGCACTAATCTTGACACGTCCATTCCACCCCATTCCACCTTCTGCCCAAACCACTTATATACTTGTATCTCGTCCCGTTTGTTGATACCTTGCCGCTTCATCTCATCTATGATGCTGGCTTGCATCTCATCCTCTCCCTCTCTTACAATGCTTATTATGGTTGGCATAATGATCTCATCAAACTGGCACTTGTTGCTGCCTACTCGAATCCACCTGCCCCGCCTCTGATGCCCTTCCCTGCCAACCCACCTATGACATATCTCTTGCGGTACATGACAATTGAAACAACACGAATATGGGCTAAACAAATGCCTCTCATTGACTTCTTCATGCACAACCACTCCTCTCGGACCCCTTCCCTCCCGTCGCCAATGCAATCCTGGATACGATGTGCCGGATGGGGCAGCTGCCGGACAACGCACAATGGACATCGCGTACTTAAATCCTCCAACTGTCCTTCAAATTCCCGTAGCTCCCGTCTCTCCTGGTGGGTTTGGGACTGGATGGATATCTGATGCTGCCCTGGCTCCTCCTGCTGTGCTTGGAATTCAAACTTCTCTTCCATGGTAATGCGCGCTGTGGTAACCCCTGATCATAACTAATCATGCTGCTTGAATTTGATGATTGGCTCATGTCATATCAATTCGCCCTGGGGTTGGGTCCCTGCTGCCTCGCCTGCTCGTGTCGGTCCTATTCTTCCCGCTCTTCTTCTCCGTGCCCCTGTTCGACATTGTATGCCTCCTGCAACACGTCCGCATCGGCTACCGTGGCATCCTCCTTTCCACAAACATCACAAACCTCCTCACCCTCCTCGCAACGCGCTCGGTTGAATCGATCATCCATGGCTTGATCTAAATGGATCCGCCGACATCGTGCACCGCTGATAAATCTATGAGCCTTGTCCTGCTCCGCACGCTTCTTATCCTCTCTTAGTGATGGCCACTTGCGGCACGTCACCCTGCTGTTGCATCCGCTCGTAATTCTAAAGGAAGGAAGTGGAAATTTTGAGAAATTCATCTCTGTAGCACCCAGATACTTTGTTCCCACAACATAACCTCTGCCGGTATGCAAGCTCTTTGAAGTTTGGCTTACCTATGAATTCTAAGTCTGATTTACTGAGCGGCGATTGCTGTGACCTTGCTGCCATCCATGTGAAGCTGAGATGAGACATGGGATGAGACATTTGTCATTTACTTTCCGACCGAACTCTAACTTCCAGTAGCATGGAAGTACCAAGGGCTGTAAATATTGAAATCAGTGACAAATGAGGTAACCACCAGGATATTCAAAATGCGCCGATTTGTTGTCACTGCTCAATAGGATATGCAGGTAATCATTAGACATCAGTTCGGCAGTATCGACAGGTGCCGACCTTATCGAAGGGTGCACATTCCTTAGCCCTCCCTAGCCCTTGATAAGTTTGTCTCAAATGCCGCCGAGTGAAATGATATAAACAAACTTGCATCCCATAAATCTGCTCTTCATAAACAACATTTAACTCCTCTAATGGTTATACTCCGTCTAAAATGTGTACATCTGCACAATGCATCTTATGCGGGGAGGAACATTCCACTTCTTTCTGCCCGTCTGCCATGTCAAATGGCCAGTGTCTGGTCAAGGTCGAGTTTGATGAGACAGTGACCGATGCTTGCGATGATTGTTATGAGCGCGTCGTTCAGGTATGCTGCATGAAAGGGATCCAATAGATAATGAAGCTAATGCAGTGTAAAGTGGCTATTATCTTGCGAGCATAACGATTTATATACATATGGGCCATGGACACTACGAGAACCAGTTCCATACAATATTTCACGAGAGGCAGCGTGCCGATTAATGAAGGCAGAACCAGGACAACGACAGCAATTGTATAACAATATACAATATGCAGAGAAGGTCCTTGCTTATTATCGCGCCAACCCCATTCCACCTCCATCACACGTTTTATACTATTATCAACAAGCTTTTCGCTCTCTAGAGTCAGCAAACGAGCGACAAATGTCTTGGAAGGCTGAGAAGGCAGATATGAACCGTGGTTTGTATTATAATATACATGCTGGGTGGTATGGAAAGCATAAGTAAATGACGACTACCACAGAAGGTTCTGAATGGAAAGCACTCAAAGAGACATATGAAATAGAGCGAAATTGAGCCTGCTAATTTACGTTTGCTCACGTACAGAAACTCGAGGCATACCGTAATGGTGCGCACCACAATGCGGAGGATGTGAGATCTTTAGGAAGTAGCCATGGGGCATGGTCACATGTATAACCTGAGATCCATATAGAGTTAGTTGTTCCGCAATCTTGTGGCACGACTCCTATTCCACCCTAAGCTGCATCGTGCCCCAGCGCGTGCGTATTTCGCCCTTAGTCCTTCCCCAGGAACTCGCTGAAGATACACTTCAAAGGCTTGTCCTCCTTCTTGTATGCTGCTAAGCGCTGCTTGTCAAGCGGTGACCATTCACTATACTTCACTGAACGTTGTCAGTTTTCCAGCCAATCCTTACGTTTGGGCGAGTCTAATGTTATGCTGTGCAGAAATCAGAGCCTCGAGCCGACAGGAACTAATGGAAGAGGTGGGGCGAAGATGATGCTGATTTGGTATGAATTCACAAACTACCTAAACTTTGAAGGGCTAGGGGTCACTGGGTGGCTATCTAGTGGGGGGTCATTAGGACCATCGAGTAGGAGCTCATCAGGACCACCCAACAGAGTCATGTCACACATACATGCCTTACCAAAGTATTTGCACAGGAGCAGAAAAGATAGCGAGGATCCTAGAGTACTTCTGTTTAGACTTTAAGAGTCTGGATGCTGTCTGTGCAACAGCAACCCTTAGCACAAGAGGGTTTGCTCCATATCCCTTGAGATAGGTGCACCGTGAAGCTTCCAAAGGCTGCCGTCTATAGCATGGTTGCGCACCCATTCCTGGCAGACTTCTGCGTCATAGCCATCTCTGCCAGCAGGCATGGGCACATTAATGCTGACCAACAGTCGATCTATCCCACCACGTGCAGCTGCTGTCGGCTCGGCCATGTAGGTGGCTGGAGAGAAATGCGGAGTTGCTGTAAATATGCGTCCCAGAAAGCAGGATCTCGATGTTGGTCGACGGAAAAGAGGCCATTGGCGGTGACCCTCTGCTGTATTCACAATTATGACGCGTTGAAGATGCGGCAAAGGAGGAAATTCCGAATCTTCAATGCATTCTTCCAACCCATCCGGCCGCGTGAGAACGAGCTTTGTCAAACGCTCACATCTCCGGAGAGCAACAAGGAATTCTGAAGACGCTACGTCGACGTTGTAAAGCGCCAGATGCTCGAGGTGGGGCCAAAAAGACCAGACTTTCGGTTCATTGGTAGGGTAGACTGTGTCGAGGAACAACTCGTCCCGGACAGAGCAGAATTCCTCAATGATTTCTAAACTGGCGAATGCTGCCCGCAGGATAGGCCGGACTCGGTTATGGTCGTCCTCGGGATAGAGAGACCGCAACGGCATGTCGATAACTAGCCGTTTTAAGCCTAAAGAAACTGCTGAAAACAGGCTATTGACTCTTTGGACGATTAGAGGTTCGTCAATGCTGTCGTCAAGAAATGGAGAGATGTAGAGACACCTCGATATATTCGGATTGAGGAGGAAGGTGGCATTGCAAACATCCACTCTATCTTCTGTGCCTGAATTATTGGTGGTTGTTGCCGAGAGGCGCGGAGGAGTGGCTATTAGACGCCATAGGCGTTCGTTAGAATCTATATGAAGGCAGTGCAAATGCAGAAGTTGGACGGCCAGAGCAGAGGTGAGTTTGCATGTGAGAGAGAAGGCGAGCAACGTGCGCGTGACAGGATGAGATGCCCGGAAAGCCACAGGAGGCTTAGAGGGGATGAGACAATGCATGATATATAGTATCAACTCGGGTGGTAGGCAGGGCATGACTAAACAAGCCTAAAACTAATAACGAGCGTGCTCTTTTTTGACGGACGGGGAATTAGAATAGTAGAGGGCAAGGCTAGGGCTAGGGCTCTGAAAGTAATAAACGAATAAGAATATAGGCCACTAGTGGGACGCTCTTATGCGCAATAGCTTAAGCTTTGTGAGAGTCTGCTGCTAGGACGATGGTCTAAAAGTCCTATCTTTGTAAAGCTGTAGGCCCTAGGTCACGCGGGAGTTTAGGGAACTAGATTAGAAGGCAGGAGTGGGGTAGTATATAGCGTAATAATAGGTCTACCTAAATACAGCGACTATTAACTAGAGTCCTCGACTAAGGTTCTAGCCCCTAATATATCCTCCCATACCATGAGCCCTAATAACTAGGCTATACCTAGATGGCAGCTCCACCGCAGGGCTGCCTTCGGCGTGGCACCTCACGTGCCATCACGTGAGGGACGCCTTACACTTAGGAGTGTTGGGGGTAATTGCGGAATACGGAGGACTACACGCAAAATCGTGTGAGGGTCTCCGGTCACCGTAATTACTCTTCTTCGGGTAGCGGAACAGAGGCTTCACAGTAGAATACAGTATATAGGATAATATAATCAATTGAATTGCTCACTAAACTACGGGCCTACGTACGCTATTTGTAGGCCTAGGGGAAACCCCCAAAACCCCGAAGGTTTGGGTTCTTACACCCCAAACCGAAGTAATGCGCTGGGCTGAAACCTCAGCTCAGTATTCTGACCAACTGGGAACTAGACAGTCCCGAAGGAAAGTGGCCATTTTTAGGTGCAAAAGGCCACGGTATTCCCATGGGATCGTCCGTTTCCCCCAACAAGGAAGTCAGGGGCCTAAGTGGAGACGGCGCGGCAACCCGTCTGATACCGCGCTTAAGATATAGGCCCTACTACTAATGAGCACTAGATTAACTCTAGTACGTCTAGTATTAGTCATTATAGTTCTATACCAACATCTTGTCTAGAAACGCTCCCTCATCACGATTTATATCTATGCTGTAAACCATTTAAGTTGCTCTACCCTTCCTATCTGCTATATAATTTGTTCTTTTATTTAATGTCATACGCTACCTCCCCTCCCTAAATCGAAGTGTATATCGCCACACATAGGTTTAGACACTTTACACACACGCTTAACCTCCTCGCCCTTTTATCACATGCTAGGAGGTACAACATTCATAATCGCACCTCATCGTCACTATATACGAAACCCCTAGACTACGCCCTACACCTAAGCATCATCCAAACAAATCCCTACTAGTTAGACGCTTAATTACTCTAGATTAAAACTCACTAGAATAGATTCACTACACGACCGAAACACTTTTCTTCGAATCCGAGCCCAGCCCACCGTCTGAGGAAAACTTCCCTATCCTCACTTTCATTGTAAAACTCTGGTACTAAACCAACACATCGATGGCGAGCTTTGAGTCCTCTCCCTCGACGAGTAAGAACAAAGTGTCGATATGTGACCCTCGTACTTGAGTCCAACGGAGTGGCAAGATGGAATACGTTTTCTTCTCCTGAAACCATCTCAGCGGACGACACCAACCCGAGCAGCTCAAGCTCCCCAATGCTAACAAGCACAGGTGTCCAGACATTCTCTGACCAACTGAGGGCGCTGATTCCAATCCCACAGCTGATCAAAGCAGCTATACGAATGAAGAATTTGCTGTAATTCGACGCATTGGCATTGATAAGATCTCTCTTGAACGAATCTGCATCTAGTTTCGCGCCTCCGCCGCCGAAATGTCCGATCAGCATAAGATTGAGGAACTTCATCGCCTGCTCTTGGCAAACTTCTTTGCTCACTGTTTCCAGAAAAAGTTTCTCATCCGGCCATACCCCATACGGACTCATGCTCAATTCGCCCCTGAGTGCAAACTTCCACGCATCGGGTGAGAAGTCAAGACTTCTGTCTATGATATCAAAAGTCATCACCATACTAGTGGACTCGATGGTACGGACTCCAACTTTGCCATATTCAAGCCCAGAGGCGCAATCCTTCTCATTATTGGGCGCGGCATCAGTCGCCAGCCCGAACAGCTTGACTAGATCCCCTAGATACTCTGGCTCAGGGATATTAGATGTCTCCAGGACCAGTCCGTCGTCTCCCACCATACCTCCAGTGATCCTCGGCAGTGTTGCACGATGAGCGCGTCGGGCTTGGTCGAAACAGTCGCGGAAAAGCTGACCGAAGCTCATGTTCCGGATATCTCGCGGCGTCGGTGCAGTGTACCAGCTGTATTGCGACATGGTGGTTAGAATAAGATCTCGTGCTTTGGTCGTCCTGCGCGTGCTATTGCTTTGGATCAAAAATTCCCTTCCGATAGCGGTCGAAAATGGTATCCTGCTGGTCCTGTCCCTTGATACTTCACCATTGCGCAATAACGCGTTCATGAACGCCAATTGCTCGTCACCGGACACTTCCCCCGTCGTTCCATACGATGCCCACGCTCGCGACATCGTCCAGAGTCGATCCGTATTCGCTGATATAAACTGCGTTCCCGAATAGATATCGCCCCAACTAAAGGTTGTCCGAGCGAGTGATTCCTCGCAGGAAATGAACTGAACATGGTTTGAGAAGACGCTCTCTTGCAGTGGCCACAGCCGCTCTAGAATCCCCTCGTACAGCCTCTGGCCACGATGATCAGTCCTCCAATGCGTATTCCACTGCTGTATGCCATTATGGTAGTCAGCCCAGGTACGAAGCTGCCCGATGGCATCTACACAGCAACTTTGGAAGCCCGAGCCATCACGGATGACGATAGTCTTTTGTGCGTGCTTGTAGATGTCGGGCATGATGGCTGTGGCTTGGATGCGCTCCTCGACGGTCTCGGGGCTTTGATCGATGCTGAGAACATCAAGCCAGAAATAGCTGTCACCCACGAGGCGCTGCAGGTTCTGATCAAGGCAGCGAGCTTTCGACGGAGAAGCAATAATTGGTTCCGGGATGTTGCTAATGGTCGTCGGGTGGTAAAGTGATGGATCCCCCCACACGTGTGAGAAGGCAATGTAGTTGGTGTGACGGAAGTCGATGTCGACTTTCTCAAACTCTCCTGACACGAATCGGCATAGGACTGTGGAGTCATGTCTGTGTCGGGGTTTCGTCACCGTCTCAGGCTCTTGGAAAATTTCAGCGCCTGATTCCATCTCTAGTGCGATCCTTCGACATGGCTTTCAGCAGCTATGACCTGAGACTCGCTTGAGTAAGAACAAGTTCTTGTTGGGACTTCCTGCAGGAATCAGAATCTCATTTCAATATCCACAATTTGCCCCATCATATAATCGGAAACAGGCTCGAAATGGTGCAAGTAAGTGTAGTAAGTGTAAGGAAGAAGTAGTTTATAATAGAATAATGCAGCTAGAAACACAACACCGGGTGGTTGTCATTATATATGACCGGACGAGGGCGATTGGTTGCAGGTATCAGCGGGGATTGTAAATGACATCATCACATATACTGCCTTTGTTGACATGTGGACTAGTGGAACCAGTCTCAATATGGATTTTATATAGCTATCACTACTTGTGGCATGCAGGCATGCAGTTTGGGACAACATGGCTGGTAGGTTTTGGACCCCGATGGAAACAACAGATGGATTACATAGATCATCGTTCAACTCCTGCTCTAACCCAACCACACTCGAAAAGATGGGCACTACGGCAGAGTTGGTCTAAGTGTAACATCATACAGAACTAGAAACATTATTTTTGAATCTCCATTCGATCGGGCTCTTCTATCAGGCCTTTCATCACTAGTCGAGAAGTGCTAGGTTTTCCCAAGTCCTGTCTAAATGGGTAGTTTTACTAACGTAGTGTATGGGACAATGCGTCACATGGTACAACACGGCGTATGTATGTACCTATATTTTGTAGGGAGCGCCCACTGTAACGGCAAGTCAGTCACAGGTACCCTCCACATTGTGGCTTGAAGATACGCTTGCGCCACACCTTCTCAGCTGACACATTGTGGTACTGTCGCTCGCCCCGCACTTATTATTTCATCAGGAACTTGACCTTCCACAATCACCTCCCTCAAAACATGACCGTTTAGAAAATAGCATAAATTTTGTCCAATCCAAATGCCTCCACTATTGAAAACAGCTCTAATGATTTTCCGCCGAGCATCGTTTGACCCAGGTTTACCGTCTGACGAGTTTTCCGAACAATGGACGCATCCAGGTGATGTGTTTTCAGTTCTCCTGATTCTTGGGGGCGATGTTGTGGGAAGGGCGCTTGCTCAGGTAGCGGGCGCTGGCTTTACGCCGGTAACTTTCTCATTTGGTCTGTATTTTTGCACCGCTTCCCCAATGGCATTTACCCATGATTTGCGCGCTGACGGAATCGTAATAGGATGGGTCGCCTACGCCGTCACCGCCGTAGTCTCTGCTGTTGGAGAGAACAAACTCATGCCGCTGCCGGATTGCGCGTGCAAGGTCATCAATGGCAAGTCGAGTTATGTGCGCGACAATACTAGCTGGATACTAGGACGCATCATGAGAGACTACGAATACTGGATGGATGATGCAATACGCGCACGAGTCAGGAACATGATTGGGGAGGGTTACCAAGCTGATTATGAACGAGCTATGAGGGAAAATCCCGGTTCAGAAGTAAACGTAACTCGTCGCACACAGGCAGGGCTCTGCGTGTCCTTCTATCGCGCGGGGCGAGCAAAAATTGGCACAATCTACCTTGATAAGGTATATGTCAGCGGCTTCTTTATTGCTCTAGTCCAGCTTGGTGTCGCGGCTATTCCATGTGGCATATGGGGAGACTGGTCGATTCTGCTCATCACCGCGGCTGGCATTGGGCTGGCCTTCGTATCAGGCTCGCTCTCTCAGTGGCGGAAGGAAAAGTGGGCGTGCCGAACTGGCCATGGCAAGACCGTGGTATTGACGCGCGGAAACGGTTCCCAGCATGCCATTGTTATCAGCGACCCCGACGAGATAGGTCTTGATCTAGAAACTCTGGCAGCAGGCCAAGCTAGCCTTGATTTATCCACTTCGCTTTCCACACGCATCCTCGTTGGACTCCTTGCGGTGCTGTGGGTTTTGCTGCTTATATCTGCATCGGGCATTAAGAAAAACACCTGGTTTCTTCTTGCCGTCGGGGGCATCGGCATAGTTCAGAACATATTTGTTGCGGGCTGGCGACGGAAACCCGAAGCTTTTGGCTTGCCACTCCACTACGAGAACGTCATTGGGATGCCCAAGGTGATGGATGCACTGTATGAAGTCGAGAAGGCGCACCCTGGGCTCGGCTTTAGTATGCGCGAAACATTTTTCCCTAGCGGCATGCTTAATGATGATGAAGAGAGGGAATGGGCACGGTACGCGCAAATAGTGAGGGATATGAACGCTGAGGCTGCACAGAGAGCAGCATCTCGAATACAAGCACAACCAGGCTTCGGGTGTTCAAGCTGAGCCTCCTCAGACTTCCACTTAGACTTAAGCGAACGGTCAAGGGTAAGCTGGGATGGCTATTGAACTTACTAATATGACTGGCTCAAAATCCCGATCTCCAGCTAATTTATTCAGGAGAATATTATGGTAAATGACGGCGTTTGGTTGTAACTTACCGTGTTTTTATTTGTATCTATAATGTATTTCACAAAGCGAATCGGTCACCTAAGCGAACTAGTTACCCAAACACTAAAACGCGTCAACTTCACTATAATTTAGATTATAAGTGCAGACTATGATCATAAACAACGTCATGTGTAAGGATGTCTCCTTACTCTGGTCAGTTCGTTACGGTTCAATCGCGACTACGAGCCTTAGGTACATAGCGTAAGGAAGCCTTAGGCAGACAGGGAGTTAGCTGAGTTAGAGGGGTTTCAGGTATTTAAGGGAATAGGAACTAAGGGTCCCCACTTTATCTTTTTGTATCTTCGTTAGACCTATAGGATAGAATTCAGCATCACCTCCGTCTCGCACTCCCATATGCATCTACAGAGAGCTGGGTCCCTGTGTCCTTACACAGAGAGCTGTGTCCCTGTGCCCTTCCAATTAGCTCCCATGGAACGCTAGTCGCCCGTCCAATTAGGGACTGGCTGGGAGACTAAGGGAATGCATGTCATGCTCGATATCCCGAGCTTTCGAAACGGCATGGGAGTATATGGCGCGAAGAGGGGCAGGGGCGGATGGGGTGGTTTGGGGTGGGGGTCGGGGTGGGAGGTGTTTGATGAGATGAGCAGATCCGTGTATACTTCAACGAGCGACGTCGCAACCGGGAAGATCTACTCAAGGGAATTGCTATGGCAAGAACCCTAAAATATCTAGAACTTCTAGGATCTGGTATATGTAATAAGGTTTTACCTTGACCTTGGAAAAAAAATCTAGGCTTTTACACTAGATACAGTCATAGAGGCAAGAAAAGATGAAAAAAGTGCATGCAAGAAAAAGGCTATTGAATTCTTATTTTGCTACTGAATTAGGATTAATCTTAATAAATCTCCGATTCGTAGCGGTCTAGTAAAACCCCCTAAACGAAAACTGCTTTTCCATCCTCAAAATACATCATGCACACAGACCGACATCTCCCAAGACGCTTTCCAAAGGTATTGGATAACTATCTCGAAGGTTAATGATCACGCGAATGGAATGGTGAAGATGCTTGTAATCTATCTACTCTATATTTCTTGTATTAAATATGCTCTATGAGGAGAGTGTAAGATACGGCCATGGGCGCCGCGCTCTTCTGTATCTACATTATCAAATCTGAATCGTAACTCTAATAATAAAAGGGAAAAAGTCATGATCATGACGTCGTAGTCCGCCGTTTATCTTTCATCTTGACTCCCCAATATCTATCTTCTCATAGTCAAGACATTACCTCCGTTCTGCTCTCCAGCCTGGAAGCTCGCCATATGGGAGGACAAAAAGTACTCGAATCCATCGTCCTTGATCCTGCCAAACCAATCAAGGAGCTCCATCTCCTCCAAGTCAGCTCTTCCCTTCATCACTCCAACAAACGCCTCCATGTCGCATTCCTTGAGACAAACATGGCTCTCATGGTGTAAGAATCGCGCTCTCGGCGAGTCGCCAACAAGCGACTCGCAGAGTGCCTCAGTTGCCTCATCCATCTTCAGCAAGTCAATGTGACCTCTCCAGCCCGCGATGTCTGGCTTAATCTTGTGCATCTCACTGTGCTGAGCCAACCACTGCATCACTGGCGTCACCGCATCACGCGGAGGCTCCGGGCCGCCTGCAACGAAGCGGTGGATGGATACGGGGATGTTGAAATCGGCATTTGCCCGCTCGAGAATGCGCTCGCCCGCCCATTTGCTGGCGACATACCCGTTGCTTCCGTCAGTGGCGGGTTGGTTCTGAGCAACCGAGTCTCCGATCGGGGCGTAAGCGGTCGTGGGCAAGACGCCAGAGGATGAAATGAAGTGGATGGGAACACGACGGCCTGCTGCCAACTTGACGAGTTCTCTGATTGGCTGCACGTTCGTCTGGCGGAGGGCGTGGTAGTTGTCCCAGAATGAGCGGACGGCGCCGAGGTGGATGATCACATCAGCTGTAAGTGAGAGGTCCTCAAACTTGGGCTGGCTGAGTCCCAGCATCGGGTGGGATAGATCGCCATGGTGGACTGAGACCTTGGGCGAAGACGCCACGGGCTTGTCACGGACAGCCACACAGTGAATTTCGGCGATGTTAGGGTCATTTTCAAGCCGCTTAAGGAGGTGTCGACCGAGGAACCCAGTGGCACCGGTGAGCACGACGACCTTGGGTTGGTTCCGGGGTGCGGTATTGGGTTCAACGGGAGTTGGTATTGTCACAAACGGCACAGCCGTCTCGCGTTCCCAATCAATGGTTTCGACACCGACGCTCTCTTCGATCTTGCAGGCCATCTCGCCAAGGGTGCTGCTATTCATGAGCTCGAAGACAGACACGACGACACTGAGCTCTTTGCGGATGCGAGCTTGTAGGCGGACGATTAGGAGGGAGTTACCACCAACCGAAAAGAATGTGGTAGCAGGCGTGATGGAGATGTTAGTTACGTGCGTAGACAGCACATCCTGCCACAAGCGGAATAGCCGAGTCTCAGTATCGGTAAGTTCGCCGCTGAGGGTCGGAGTTGCAATATGTTCTGGGAGTGGAAGCGCTTTGACGGCCTTCCTGTCAACTTTGGAATGGTTGTTCAATGGCAAGTGTTCAATAGGAATAGCCATAGCGGGAACCATATATCGTGGAACCGGTAAGTCCTGAAGGACATTCTGGAGAAAAGCGTCCTTATCGGCAATGTCGCGCTTGGTGTCGAAGACGACGTGGGCAACCAAGAAGTCAGAGTCCTCGCCGTGAACAGTGACGATGGCTTCCAGGATGGCACCGTTGCCCGCACGCACGATGTTGCTTTCGATGTCTCCAAGCTCAATTCGGAGGCCACGGATCTTTACCTGAAGGTCGGAGGAGATACGGTGTCGGAAGACGAGTGATCCATCCTCGCGAAAGTGTCCGTAGTCACCAGTGCGGTACATTTTTGACCATCCGTTTGCCACATAGGCCGCAGATGCGAAGGGATTGGGGACGAATTGAGTGGAAGTCAAGGCAGCGTTGTTGGCATAGCCGGCAGCAACGCCCGCTCCACCAATGACGATCTCACCTGCTATGCCAATTGGCAACGGCTTGAGATCTCTGTTGACGACATAAGCTGTATAGTTCGGGTACTGGGAGCCAATCGGAATATCACCCTGCTCTCCTTGACGGTAGTCGATCTCATGGAAGCTTGATCCACAAGAAATTTCTGCTGGGCCATAGCTGTTGATTAGACGTACATCGGACAGATTCAAGGCCGCAAACTGCTTTGCGACGGTGTTTGTGAGTCTTTCACCACCAGCAATGGCGTACTTCCAGTTGGAACATTGTCGGAGTGTGCTCATCCCATACTGAAGCCACATGAGATATTCGGACGGTGTTGCCTGTGAGTAAGTGATGTGCTCATCTCGCATCACCTTGGTGATCTCCAGTGGGTCGCCCCTCTGGTTCAGGGGGCACATGAAAACAGATCCGCCAGTTGCAAGACCAGTGAAAATCTGCTCCAGTGAAATGTCAAAGCTCAACGTGCTCTGCTGCAGCGTGGTTTGTGGGGTTTCCATGCCGTACATTTTGATGGAACCTTCAATGTAGTTTCGTAGACCCTCATGCGTGACTGTGATACCTTTGGGAGTTCCAGTTGAGCCGCTGGTGTAGATGATGACAGCGGCTTGCGCGCTCCGAGATAAATCCGGCACAATTGCAGATGCATCGGCGGGAACATTGCTGACATTGAGTGTAAGTGCATTGCCCGCACACAAGCTGTTTGCGTTGGGGCTGGTGGTGGCATCAGTCAAAATCACACTCGGCTGGCAAGTTTCTACGATCGCCGCTAGGCGAGTTAGTGGGTTTGCGACGTCCATGGGAACATAGATGCAGCCAATTCTCCAGATAGCCAGAAGCGAGACAATCCAATCGACCGATGGCTGTTGGAAGACGATAACCTTGGATCCTGGATCCACGCCGGCTTTTTGCAAGGTAGCTGCAATGGCTTGACTTCGGCTCATAAGTGCTCCGTAGGAGATTGAAGTATCATTGCCGTCTTTCACAGCCACCGCGTCATTGTTTTGTCTTGCGACTTGTTCAACACGACTCGAAAGAGTGGCAGGCCATTGGGACAGCAAGTCAGGTCCTTTGCCCATGTCGAGTGCTCGCTGGACTTGTGCTTGACTGTATAGCGAAGGCTCGCCTGTCCTCATGGTTGGTGCATTAACGAAGGCGTCTAGCAGGTTGATATACGACTCGAGCAGCAGGGTTGTGGCATGGCGGTCATAGATCGTCGCCTGTGTCTCAAATATGATACCTGGACCTTGATCGTCTTCAACGACGGTGATGTTGATATCGTAATTTGTCTCTCCGGTATTGTTTTGCTGCATATTCATCTGGCAGTTGCCAAACCTTGAAATCTGCTTGACGCCAACTTTGTAGTCAAAGAAAGCTTGAAAGAACGGAGCATGAGTTGACGAACGCTCGACGTGATGGAACTCCTGGAGCATTATGTTAAAGGGCAGCTTGGAGTTGGCCAGCGCAGCGTATGCTTGATTCCTGGTTTCTGTGACCGAGGCAGCAAAAGTCTTTGTCTCGTCAGGCTTAAATCGCAGAGGGAGAAGATTAAGGAAGAGACCAATTGTTCTAGTGATGTCGTCGTCGGTTCTGTTGGCATCAGCGATACCGATCGTGAGGTCAGCAACGTCAGCCAATCGGGCAAGGAGGATGCGGAAGACGGTGAGATAGACGTGGAAGTTTGTCGAACGGCTCATTCTAGCAACAGCCTTGACCTTCTGCCCAACGACTGGGTTGACTCGCCTCGAGACTTCGTTGCTCTTGAAAGCAGAAATGGGTACACGCGAACTGCTTATGGCCATTGGAAGAAGTGGAAGCACAGCTGGTGAGTCATGAAAGACATCCTTCCAGTATTCAAGCTCAGAATCCATTTCACCGGCTTGGAGCGCCTTGCGTTGGTTCACTGAGAAGGTGGGAAATTGCATTGGTGAAGGACCCAATGGTGTGCTATTGTATGCTTTTTCAAGATCAGACAGCAGCACCTGCAAGCTGATACCGTCCATGATGATATGGTGGTAGGCGACAAGCAGGTAGT